CTGGGGATCGAGCCCCCAAACTGCGCGTGTGCCCTGACCTGGAATCAAACTGGGACCTCCTGGTGCACAGGTCAACACAACGCTCAACCGCTGAGCCGCACCAGCTGGGCTGTTACACCATTTAACAACTTCATTCTCATCACGCCACAACTTCTGTCACCCGGCTTCTCTTTCTCCTGTTTAAACTACTTTGCGACAATACATACGCAATTCCTTGTCTTGGGATTAAAACTTTCTTTGTTTCTGCAGCTCATTCATGGCCTTTGAAGCTTTCATTGAGAGTTTCAACAAGTCTTCCTACTGGGTAATTAGAAATGTAAACAATACTAAGGTAATTGAAGGAGAAACTGAGTCTCTTTAAATACCCTAAATCCTCCTGGAGGCTGGGGAGTGGCTGTAGTCCTAGGATCAATAGGGGAATTAATGCCACCCCCAAATCCTGTGCAGGGTATGGGAACAGCTGGAGCAACTATCCCACTTCAATGTGAAGGAAAAAAACACACCTAGCATTAAAAACAAACAAACCTCAAGTGGCTACAGCCACCCCAGCCTGATCTCACCCTCTCCCCTCTGCTCCAGCCCCCTAAAGGTTGTCAAGAACACTAGATAATTAAACAGCTTTTGAGCACACTAAAGGAATGCAGTGATGACCAAGAATCCAAATGGGTAGTTTAAATTTGGTTAATGTCTTTTAAAATGATTAACATAAAATATAGGTTTGTTTTTGCCTGGGTTTACAAAAAGTTCATGTTATTTCTATTATATCTCTTAAAAATGTGCCCTGGCCAAGTGGCTCAGTTGGTTGGATTATCATCCCATACACCACAGGGTTGCTGGTTCAATCCCCGGTCAGGACACATGTGGCAGATTGATGGTTCTCTCCCTTCTCTCTAAGGATATTCTCCTGTAAGGATTTTAAAAATAAAAATAAAAGTAAGTGTTTTTGCCAATGGAAAAAACCTGTTTCTAAAAATTATGAAAGGCCCTGGCTGGGTGGCTCAGTTGGTTGGAGCATCGTTTGCCCGTTTGATTCCCAGTCAGGGCACATACCTAGGTTTCAGGTTCAGTCCCCAGTTAGGGCACACACAGGAGGCAACTTATTGATGTTTCTCTCTCACATTAATGTCTCTCCCCTCCCCCCCAGCTTCCTCTTTCTCTAAAATCAATCAATAAATATATATATATATAAATTATGAAATGTGTTCATATATTTGCCAATCTAAAGAATGCTAACTACTTTCTTTTAGTTGTCACTAAAAATTAAAATTTCTAAGAATTAAGAATTCTAATTAAATTGGGGAAACAATATGGTTTTGGTAATAAAAGATGTAGGTTATAGCAATATATTTTGAAGAAAATAGGGAGAAAGTAGGTTGTTCTAAAGTCGGTTATTTAAGAAAAGGCAAACTAAATGGGACTAGGAAAGTTGCAGAGGGATTGTGTAGAGGGAACACTGTGTCAGATACAACTGACATTATGGAACAAATTAATTCTTAGTAGTCAAAAGTACACAAATATCAATCCTGAGTCGGCCAAGGACCTCTGGGGATGCCTTTTATCCAGTAGGCAGCCCCAGACATCAGGAAAAAGTTACAAAAACTGGCCTTGGGACCCCAGACCCCCTTTGAGCAACTGGTAGAGACAGCTTTCAGTGTTTTTAACAATGGAGACAGCCCAGAAAAAGAGCGAAAAGCCACCAGATGGAAACAAAAGGATCACTTATTAGCCTCAGCTTTAAGTCCTATGCCACCTCAGGGTCACCAAGCCCCAGGACTACAAGGGACATCAAAGAGGCAATGCTATTCCTGGGGACAAGAAGGACACATAAAGAAGGAGTGCCCACAACTGACTGAGGCTTGACTGCCTCTAAGACCATGTCCCCTTTGCAAGAGGGAAGGCCATTGGAAAAGTGAGTGTCCCAGGCTCCAAAGGGAACCCAGTGCCTCCAAACCAATGATGGCTGAAACACTGGAGAATTGATGGTGTCTGAGGCCTCCTACCACCCCCCCAACCATTTGACCATCACGCCAGGGGAGCCTTGGGTGACCCTTGACATGACAGGTAAGCCCATTACACTTCTATTAGACACGGGGCTGCTTGGTTTGCTGACTCACTCTCCAGGGCCTCTTTCTCCCAAAACCTGTTTGATCACTAGGGTAAATGGCATCCTCAACGCTACCATTTCACTCACCCCTGGGCTGCAGCCTCGGGAACCTCACTGTAGTCATGCCTTTCTTGTAGTTCTGGTGCCCCATTCCCTTATAGGGAGGAATATCTTGTCTGGGAACTACCATAACCCAAGGAGTATTAGCCACAGAAGACAGTGAACCCTCATTGTTATGCCTGATAGCCAATCTAACTTCTCACCCTGAACCACAAATTAATAATATCCCTCCTCTTCCAAGTCAACCCCAAGTTATGGGAAACTAGAACACTGGGCAGGGCAATAAATGTACCCCGTCAAGATATCTCTAAAACCAGGGGTACCCACCCTAACAAAAGATAATACACTCTAAAACTTGAGGCCATAAAAAAGGGTCAAACTGACAGGGGCAATTATAATTTCCAAAGATTGAGCACCTGAATTAATCTTAAATATAATTATATTACTTACATTGTAGCACACATATACGTAAGCAGGGATTTAAGGGTTTTTTTTCCTTAGGCTTCTTTCTCCTAGGCCTTTGCACCCTGTACTCCCCTTGATCCTAGACTGAAGCAATTAAGGAGGTGGCAGCTGTGAACAATGGGTTAAGAGATTACCCTATCAAGAGCAAGACGCATGGTCAGGCCGACCTCACAGTCAAGATATCACCTTATCGAGACATTGCCAGGTGACCAAGATCAAAAGAATGACTTCCAGGACTGCCCGTAGATGCATTCCATTCCCAGCCTCAGTTTACCCCATTTCCCTACATAACCCGATCCCTCAGGCCACTCGTGTGCTCCCTCGTCTTGGTCGGCGGCCTGCTCAATAAGGTCGGCGGCCTTATAGGATTTGACCCGGCCTCCGCTGAACTGGACACAGCGACACGCAGCCCGAGCCCACCGGGGTGTCCCGGTACCATATTTTGGCGACTCCGCCGGGACCCTGCTCTGAGCCCTAAGGTGAGCCCCTTTGGGGACTGCCGAAGGACTCGGGTGGCTGCCTGCACTTGGGAGACCTCGTGCGAGCGCCCATGGAAACTCCCAGCAGCTGCCGAGTGACAACGCGGGGACCTTAAGCGCTTCCGAGCCTCCCAGCCGCCTGCCGTCGGCTGGCTCTGCGGTCTGCGCCTGTTCCCATCCGACCTGTCCGTCCCGGGCATGGTAAGCCAGGCTGGCATACTTAAGGTGCCTGCTGTTTCCGTTTGTGCTGTCTGTGGGAAATGCACTGGCAACCCCACCCGCCAGCCCGCTGGGCCGCGTTCTGGTCCCCTTAGGCTTCTGTAACCCTGTAGGGGGGCATCTGTTGTCTGTTGTCCCCTATCTGGGCGAGCTTGGCCAGCTCCTGGTCACAAGCGGCCTCTCTGGCTCCTTGCCTGGTCTCGCACCCCAGCCGGATCAGCTTAGGGGCCAGACGTGGCCCTGCGTGGTGCAGGCATTCGGCCTGGTGTGCTGTCTGGCTGTGCACCCGCAAGTGGTTGTCTGACTGTTGTATGTCGTGTCTATTGTGCACATTTGTAAATACCGTGTTGTATATTAGGGTAGTTTTGCCTTGTGTAACCTTGCCTGTAATCTTGCTTAAAATGTATTTAAAGATGGGAGCATATCCCACTTTGCCGGAGTCCCCAGCTGCTCCTGGTGGGCTGAACCCAGGGAGGAGGGGGCTGCAGGAACTTGCTGCCCTGCTGTCCTCTAACGGCATCAGCGGGCTGACATGCTTAACTAGTATGAGTTTTGTCTGTCTGTCTGCAGTGTGACTTTGGTTGTAGATGTTCTTTGCTTGCTCTTGTCTTTTTAGGGATTTAGTCTGCTCTTCCCATTTATGAACACTGGGAATCCCGTCTGCTGTGTGGGCTTTGCGCCGCTTAGACGGAAGGTCTTTTGCTGGGCTGGGTTCCTGTAAGATAAAGATCCTAAGGCTACTATCCCAGCCCCCCCTTTTGAGAGCACTCACTTATTTACTTTAGGAGTTGTTTTGTTTCTGTTTTAAAATATGATAAGATCTCTTCTTACGTACAAAATGTCACAGTATTATATTTTACTCAGAAAGGAAAATATGGAAAATAAATCTTTTTAAACCCCCCAAATTTTCTCCCAGAAGGGCCAGAGCTATCAAAATGCCCTCAGACAGGGGGCCACAGCCACTCTGTAAAGGAAGAAAAAAAGTATTTTCACTTTAAGGCCACCTGAGGCCTGGGAGTTACAAAATTTGCCAAGAAAATGCCTTGGGAAATAATAATTGGCTTTAAAATCTCAAGGTTGTTGAGACATAATAAATCAGATATAACTGAAGTGAAGGGTCTTTATAAGGCTTTTCAGTTATATGTTATATATATATATATATATATATATATATATATGAATGAACAGTTTTCCAATGTCTTTGGTAACTTAAGACTGGAGTTTTGCTGGGTTAAATAATAAAAATTATTAAATATCTAGGTATTTTGAAATAACAGGATACTGAAATGTTAATCTGAGTTGCCTACTCTTGGCTTTTTACTACAGAGACTCAAAAGAACGGATTTGAGTCCGACCGGGTGTGGCTCAGCGGTTGAGCGTCAACCTAGGATCCAGGCGATCGGGGTTCAGTTCCCGGTCGGGGCACATGTCCAGGTTGCGGGCTGCAGCCGATCAGTGACTCATCGTTGATGTTTTTCTCTCTCTCTCTCCCTGTACTTTCCTTTCTCTGAAATCAATAAAGATTTTTTTTTAAAAAAGAATGGATTTGAACCTGTTAATGAATATGTCTTGCATTTTATTTGAAATATATCTTTTTTTAAAATGTGAGTGTATTGCTAACCTGAGGAATGTTAATTACATGTCACCTAAAAATTAAGGTTTCTAAGAGTTAGGAATTCTAATTAGAAAGAAACTGTATGATTTTGGTAAAAGAAGGCATGAGGCATGGAGATGCATTTTGAAGGGAAAAAGAAAGTACGTTGCTCTAAAGCTGGTTATTTCTGAATAGGTAAGAAGGTTGGTGAAAGTTGTAGAAAGTTTATAAAGAGAAATCTTAAAAGGGAATTACAGGTAATCTGAATAATAAATTTAATTAGATAAATGAATCTAAAATGAACTAATACAGAATTTTAATCCTTTCCAGCCTGTTAAAAGGGAAAAAGTCTTTCCTGTATTTGCCTCGGATGCAAAAGTTTTATAAATTATTAAAATGGTTATATATTATGTTATATTAATCAGGTATTTGATTACTTTAAAAAAAAAAAAAAAGCCATCTTCTTAATCATGGGAACTGAAGTTTTACTAGCCTGTTTGTATTTAACATCTCTTGTCACTTTGAATAAATAAACACTCTGCCCAGCCGGGCGTGGCTCAGCAGTTGAGCATCGACCTAGGATCCAGGAGATTGAGGTTCGATTCCCGGTCAGGGCACATGCCCGGATTGTGGGCTCGATCCCGAGTTGGGGGCGTGCAAGAGGTAACCGATCAATGATTCTCTCATCACTGATGATTCTCTCTCTCTCTCTCCCTTCCTCTCTGAAATCAATAAAGATATATTTTTTTAAATAAATACTCTAATACTGCTTCATAATAATAATAACATATGATCTTTTGGTCAAATAAGTTTGACAACCTCCCCAGGGTTTGAATTTTAAGAAACTTTTTTTCTTGACCCAGAATTGGCTTTAGGTCACACCAGTACGCCCTGGAATGCCTCAAGGACTTTGTGTTCTCTCCTTATGAAGGAAAAGCTTATACTTAAGGTACAAAGGAAGCTTTGTCAAGTAAAGAAATAATAACTATATTCTATTTATACATACATGTTATTAAAATAGGTGTAAAAATATCCAGGAGTCTATAAATTCTAACATACTTTCATTTATAACTCGAATTGTTATTCTGGAATATTGTGTTTTGCAGAAAGGACAGGATTCTATGTCAACTGTATTATAGTCAAATCCATAACTATGTCATTTTCTATTTCTTCTTGTTATATAGAGACAGTCACTGTTTTGTTGTGATGCATTTGCAGAAATGTCACATCTCCTGAGGGATCCATGGAAAGGACTCTGACTTATTTTAAATTATATTCTCTGAGAATGAATTTTCAGATCATCCCCTTTGAACTGGATGAGAATTATTAGGACGCTATAGAGTATCTGGATTTATAGAAGTATTGGCAAGAAAAATCAGGAGAAACAAAAATTGATTATGGGACTGAATGAACTGAAAATGATAGTTTTTGTAACTTTGTTAAAAGTAACTCTGATTCCTAACCTTTCTGTTTTTCAGACATAAGGAAACTTGTTTGTTTTCTTAAAGCAATTAGGTAAATTTTATTTTTCTCCCTGCCCGATCCCTCCAGAATTTGGCAATTTTTTTTTTTTTTTAATATATCTTTATTGATTTCAGAGAGAGGAAAGGAGAGGGAGAGAAAAACATCAATGATGAGAGAGTTATTGATCGGCTGCCTCCTGCATGTCCCCGACTGGGGATGGAGCCCGCAACCCGGGCATGTGCCCTGACCGGAAATCGAACCCTGATCACCTGGATCCTAGGTTAATGCTCAACCGCTGAGCCAACGCCCAGCCGGGCTGGAAATTCTTAATGAGTGAATTGTGGCAATACGTTTCCTTGCATGAATTCAGTAATGTGGTTTTATTAACCAAGTTTTCAATTGTGGTTTTATTAACCAAGGCTTAGACTAGAATGTCATGTCTGAGAGAGACAGGCCTGGACTCTGGATATCACCAGAAAGCCTCAAGAAAACGATGGCTGACGCTGAAGCCAATAAGAGCCCCTTGGAGAAAGGCTGGTACCTTGTTTGGTTATATGGTTCAGGGCAGTTTTTCCAGGTAAGGGACAAAGGTTGCTTTCCTGGGAGATGGCTAGGAAAGAACCTCAAGACATTTTGGGGACCTCAAGAACTTGAGGAATTCACCCAAGTTTATAGGTATTGCAGACAAACCTGATGGCAGCTGGCTGCTTTGCCCTGAGGGGCTAATTAAAGTTCAATCATGAGATTCCAGCAAAGCAGATTTTAAAACGCCTATATGGTCAAGTGCTATTCTTATTGGGTTCATATAAACAATCAGGCCAAACTGAAAATGAATAATACAGTAAAGAGACTGGTCTTAATTCGGCTCTTTAATGAAATGAGGGTGATTTTAGGGGGAAAAATTATTTCAACAGGTAAATATTAGAACTGGAATTTTTTGTTTTGTTTTATTTTTCCTTCCACCAGACCATTTGTCATAATTCTTGTTGTTCTAGCTTTGCCCCAATAATACTAAAATTTATAACAGTTTGTCGCCACCAAGATACAAGCCCTACTCAGGGAAAACCACCTCTAACTACCACCGCCACCTCCTTCTGTGCTCAGGCCTCACTGTCCCTCTGACAGAGAGCAAGGATCTCTTGGCTCTGAAGGAAAACGTCACCCCCTTTCAGCAGGAAGTAGCTGTAAGAAGAGACTGCACCTCTCTTCTCTGAAATAATTCGGAGCAAAGATCCTTGAAGGGGTATAGCAGGCAGTCAGACAGACATGAGCAGAGTAAGGACAAGGGGCCAGGTACAGAAGGTCATCAGGGTAGAAAGCCCCAGATGCCTAGCAAGGGACGATTGTAGGGTAGGGTGGGACCTCCCCACCAGGAGGGCCTGTCCTAGCATATCCCTGGTCATGCTGTTTGGACTCCCTGACCTTTCCTCCGCAGAGATAACATCCAGGCCTCAGGAAAGGTTGAGAGCCAAAGCTATTCCAGGAGACTCATCTGCACTGGGTCTCCAGATGCTAGCAATCGCCCTGTTGTTGAAGGGGATCGCCCTATGCTTTCTATTAAAGTAGCAGGGGGTTCCATAAGAGAGTGTGCATACTTTACAGGGTGTCCAGGAAACTCTCTGTCTTTGAAAACTCAGCAGCAATTGAACTGTTCAAAAGAAAATTCCTCTCTGTCTTATGGAAATGGGCATGGTCGCCTCCCCACTGGTTGGTTCCTGCCCTGTGGTTTAACAGCATATCTTGTGTACCTATGAATAGTGCTGGAGGCTGGCACCATTGGACACTTGACTGTAATATTGTAATGTTGCCACAGAAGCCCCATCCTCAGCGAGTGTGCCGTGAGCTCACACTAGATGAGAACTGCGATGGTGAAGTACCTCTGTTTAGTCAGGCTAAATATCTCTCTATTTGTCACTCCAGCCACGGTAGGATGATTGAATGCTGAAGTAGCTAACGTGGCCTGTGCTATGGTAAAAGCTCTGAATGCTACCTCCCAAGCTACAGCGGCTATGGGTCAGGAACTAGGGCGAGTAAGAAGCCATCCTAGAAAATCGAGCTGCCACTGATTACCTATTACAGACACAATCAGGGGTGTGAGGATTTTAAGGGTATGTGCTGTTTCAATTTAACTGATAACTCTGAACTCAGAGCAAAAATTACAGAAAGTCAAAGATGCTCTTTCCCGTGTCACACAAAGGGAAGGCTTCTTTACTAAGGACTTTGCTGCTCACTCTTGGCTACCCAGCTGCGCTGGCATAAAGGAAGCCTTCCTCATGTTCTGTTCTTTATTATGATTTGTCTAATATCTTGGTGTATTCAGTGTATGCCTCTCTTTTCTAGTGCGTGTCAATTCATAAGACCTAGAGGAGGTCATCGCCATGCTGCAGAAGCAGAGATGTTAGCACTACAGCAATAGGACGGATTTAAGACCAAGATTTACGATAGTGTAAGGTTGATAGATACCAACTAATTTACCTAATCAGAGGGGGAAATGATAGGGACACTTACAATTTCCAAAGATTGAGCACCTGAATTAATCTGAAATATAATTATAAATATATTACTTATAAAATTATAGAACAACCTCTCCTTGAAAACTATTTCACGCACAGGCCCCTCGGGCCCAGCCAGTCTCCATGCAGCACCCCTCTCCTCCCAGCACAAAAGCCAGATGGAGAATACTGGTCTGTGCAGGACCCAAGAGCAGTGAATGAGGCTGTAATTCTGGCACATCCTAGAGCTTCAAACCCCTACACTATCTTAAATCCCAGGAGAAGCCAAATATTTTACTGTATTAGATTTAAAGGATGCCTTTTTCTGCACCGCCCCCTTCATCCTGATGCCCAGTACTTGTTTGCATTTGAATGGACTAGCCCCCAAACTAGGAAAACTTGCTAATATACATGGACTGTGTTCCCTCAGGTTTTAGGGACAGTCCCATTTTTTTGGAAATGCTTTAGCCAAAGAATTAAGAGAATTCCAATTGGCCAACAGGACCCTCCTATAATATGTTGATAACTTACTAATTTCTAGTATTAACAAGACTCATATTAAAAACTCCATTCTGGTATTACACTTCCTCACAGATAGAGGATATAAAGTCTCTCCCCAAAAGGCCTAAATAACCTCCCAGCAGGTCCAATACCTAGGGTACTTAATTACCCCAGGAGCCTGGACCCTGTCAGCCCAAACAAAACAGGCCACACTGGTTCTCAGGGTCCCACAAAGTAAACGACAGCTTCAAGGATTTTTAGGAATAACTGGCTTCTGCTGCCAGTGGATACCAGGTTTGGGGCTAATTGCTAAACCTCTATATGAGGCTTAAAAGGGAGACGACAGCCTATGGACTCGACCCCTGAATGCCACCAC